GATGGATGGATGGAGAGAGAGAGAGATGGATGGATGGATGGAGAGAGAGATAGATGGATGGATGATGGATAGACTCTCTCTCAGTCAGAATGAGGCTCCATGAAGTTAATAGTTGTTTATCTTCAGAGGAAATAACTTATTGGTTATAAGATGAAACATTGTACAGGATACGGCGACTCTTCTTGGATTACATGAGGAATCTCTCATCACACTGAACTGATATCGTCTCTTTCATCCCGTAGTGATGATGAGATTGAATACTTGATCCTTGGTACCGGATGCTGTTCTGTTTGTTTCGTTATATCATTGTATTGTTATTGTTTTTCATTTGATTTAAAGTTTGAGCAGTTCGTTTTTTGTCTTGTTAACTCTGCGTTGTTATTCATCACTTAATGGTTTTGTGTTTTGTGTTTAATTGTTTCTTCTGTTTTATTTTGAAGGTCCCTGCCTCTCGTGTCCTGTGTTCACTTCACTTCCTGTCCTTGTCTGTTTCCTCTCCTGTGTGGTTGTCTGCCCCGCCCTTGATTGAGCCCTGCTGTGTCTCATCACCTGCACCTCCTCAGTGTATTTAAACCCTGAGTGCCTCTTGTCTCAGTGTCTGCTGTGTGACCTGCTGGTCTCTGGTCTGCCCTGATATGCTCGTCCATGGTATGTTCCCAGTGTTGCTCCTTGTTGTGTTGTGTCAGTGTGTTTCCCTCTCCATTGTTTTTTGATAACTTTTTCCGGTTTTTAACTTTTGCCCGCCCCTTGTTTTCTCCCTTGGATTCTTTTGTTCCACGTTTGTTGGGCTTCCTTGCACTGCCAGCTTTACTTTGCACATTTTTTGTTTTGGTATTAAATCCTTCTGCTCCCGTGTGTTTCTGCGTTGGGTTCCCCCCCCCCCCCCAGACTGTCCCATAATCCTGACACATACGTGAATGTGTTTGTCCTTGAAAAAGCAAAATAAAATATTCAAAAGAGAGAAAATGAAGGTGTTGAACTATGTGGAAAACATTTTAGCTGAGAGTATCTCTGCTCTGTCATGGAAATGATGCTGCGTGTGTTTGCAGAACAAGATGAACGGTTTAGTCACACTATTGAGTATAAAAGTAGAACTGTGTTGGAGTAGATTGCATATATGACGACATGTGATGGCCTCTGAGCTGAACAGCTGGTAAAGGAGCTAAAATGTAACAATCTATAAATATTGTACATGCACAATATTTGAATTTGGTTCATATATTTTGATCTGCAAAATGAATTCCTTTGTGGAAATTTGGCCTCAATTAAACACACGTTTACTGTATGAAGCTGTGAAATGCTGCATCATCAGAGCATCATCTGTCAGGAACTATAATGCTCGGCTGGTGCAAACTATCCAACATAAGCCCACGCTTACACACACACACACACACACTCTTTATTCTTTTGTTGACATCGTATCTTGTTAAAATACGTTGTCATTCATATTACGTGTAGATATAAATGTATATAGTAGATGTTTGTGTTCTCTATAATATTTTAATATTATATAAGTGAAGGCTTGAAATAAGCCCAGTGGGGTTTATTCCTCTGCACTGTGATATTATTTATCTCCGCTATCTTTGTGTATTTTTTCTGAATTGTGCAAAATAAACCTAAAACTAAAGCAGATCTCTGCCGAGTGTTCCAGAAGTGATGATGTAACGCTCAGATGGCGAGACTCTTATTCTGGCCTCAGGATTTGACCTCCGGCTCTCATCTTCGACCTGACAGATGTTTTCTTCTTCAGAGACATGTGTGCCTTAAATCAATCAGCAAAAAGCTGTTTTTATGATAATTGTATTAAGAAATGTAATGAAGTTACACAAGAATATTAATATGAAAGTTATTCAATATTCTTCACGACATCATTGTGCAAATGAAATCGAGGTTTCACCGTCTGGAGGAGCTTGACTTTGCCACAAGGTGTCAAAGCGTCGGCTCATCTTCACAAAGCTTCTTTGCTCTGATCAGATTAAAGTCTGATATGTTGAGAGCATGAAGGCAGCGATGTGCAGGAGACCGAACACTAACGATACCTTTCTACCACCTCAGCAGGCCGGTGAGACAGGAAGGACCTACGGAACCGAGGAACACACCGAACAACGAGGACTTCATTGACGTCTTTGTCCAGAGGGACAAGCGAACACTTACTACCAATAAAGTAAGTGCAAATAAATACATTAATATAGAGATGTTCCATAACGCTGACATTTGAGTTATCATTTACAGAAACATTGTGAGCAATAGTCCACTATCCACTCACAAGAGATACAGATGTAATCATTTCCAAAATCCACGACATGTTTTTATCAACAGAAATATCAGCCGGACGCTCATTGTGTGTAGTTATTGGTGCACTTTTGAGCATTTTGTAGAGTGAATAAGTTGTGTTCTACTGGTGTGCTGACACTAATATTTCTCTCTCATCTTCTTTATTCTGGTGCGCCGTCGCCAGATGCTCATTGTGTGGTTGTCGGTGAGCTTTTGAGCATTTTGTAGGAGTGAATAAGTTGCTTCCTGCTGGTGCCTTGACTCCAATACTTCTCTCTCTTTCCTTACTCCTGGTGCACCGTCGCCAGACGCTCATGAGTGGTCATCACTCTGTCATTTCTTCATTCTGTAGAAGTGAATAATCCGTTTTCTACTGTTGGGTTGGCGCCAATACTTCTCTATTTTTTCTTTGTTATTTAACATCCATATGCCGCATATATAGATCACTATACTTGTGTGTTTTGGACACCAAAGGCTCGACATGGTTTTGATAAAACGCTTGGCTCACAGCCAGTAACAACTGTCCTCATAAGTGCTATATTATCACACAACTTTTAATAACCTTACAGAGCTGTCACTTAACACAGAGCTCACACAGTCCTGCTGTAGCATATTATTGATGTTCATAAGACATTATTCCATCTCAGGAACTTATAATATATAATGTTCTGATACGTTAGAGCAGTTCTGTGCGTGTCTTTATATCGGGCTTAAGGTTTAATGTGCCGTGTAACCCAGGACTCGCATTCTTCTGTCAAACACTGTTGAAGCGTTATGAATGCTGAATTTAACTATAATACTTTATAAACGCGTTCTAAGTTGTCATGCGTGATGATAAACATTTATAAGGAGATTTAAAAAGCCTTATGAACGTATTATATGGTCTTATGAATGTGCATTAAGTGCCAGTACAGTTAACTCTTATTTCACCAAAAATAATTTCAACAAACAAATCTCTCCGTGAGGCCGGTTGAGGGAACACGTGCACACTAGAACTCTTTGTGTGCACGTCACAATCTCACTCCACAGTTCTCTAACCCGGCGTGGCTTGGACGCCGGACGTCACCTCACCGTCGTAGCTCACCTGGTGCTGAGGGGCTGGATGTGGATGGTGCTGAGCTCCTGTAAGCCCCCCCGTTGGTGGGCGTGCGCCAAAGGCTGCATGTGTGCTGGGCCGCTGGCGTTCTGTAAAGGGGTGTGGTGCTTCTTGCTGCGCCGGGAGCAGCACGTGCCCGTCACGCCGTCTCGGCTGGAGAGGGAGGGGCTTCGAGACGGGTAATTCTGCAGCCCCGCCTCCAGGTAGCTCTGCTGGTAATACTGCTCGTCCACAAACTCGTGGTTCTAGAAACGGAGAGAGAGAGAGAGAGATTAAACAGGATGTGACATTTACGTTTATATTTATGACCATGTGCTGCGTATGACTTCATATCACCTGTTTCATATTTCCCTGGGTCGATAACTCATCTGAGAATAAACCATTCATTCTTATTAAGGCGTGTGCATGCAATGTCTTTTAGTTGTTTGTGTTTAGCATCGTAGCTCAGTCACTATTACATATCAGGTGTCTTAAAGCGACTATCGTCACGATCAACGGGCGATCACATGTGAACGGGTTCACAAAGAATGATTGATTACTGAATAATGTTTGGTGGACACCAACATGACTCTTCTGCTGGATGTATAAATACTCCCAGTACCAAACGATTCAGTATGTAATGAAGAGATTTAATATGTTCCAATAATGTCCCCGCTGTGGGGAATAAAGGATTATCTTATCTTATATTCATAGTATGTCAAATGCCAGAAATAGCAGGATGTCCTTCTGCATGCAATTGCATTTCACAGTATGTAAGCCAGCAGGCTTTTCTAGCTGTTCTGACCCACAATCCTTTGCACAGTCGGTCTATGAGCAGGATCTCTGAGTGGGTCTCTGAGCAGAGGTCAAGGTGCAATGTTCTGATGAAGTATGTTTCAAATGAATACATATATATATACTGTATATATATGTGTCCAAAACAAATGTGTTCTTTCAGGTTTAACTTTACAGTCTCTCCGACCTCCATGTGGTCCGTTCTTTACAAATCTGACGGTGCGTGCGTGTGTGTGTGTGTGTGTGTGTGTGTGTGCGCGCGTGTAAAACTCTTTTGTTTTGTCAGGCTGAAACAGACGTCTGTATCACGTCGTACATGCAGACGAGTGTCTCACGAGGAACATGCAGCGTAGCGGACATCACGCTGCAGCGGGCTGCACACATAACTGTACATCAAGCCTGGCCGTCAGTCATGTTCACCTAATGAGCCACATCCAGATAGAAAACCTTTGAATGATTGCACACTCTGGGGTTCATCCTGATATTAAATTAATATCAGGATGACACTTTGACTGAACTACAGGAAGTGAACACAGATCGGGGAGGAGAGGCTGTAGACGTGTGAATAGTTTAATATATACAGCACGTAGAGCCTCCATGTTTTTATCCAACACTTGTTGACATGTAGACATGTTGGATATATAGATTCTATTCCTTGACAATTTTTGTAAAATAAATTATCAAAGAAATTCAACTTGCATGTTTTAATGAATAATGGCACGATAACTGTTATTCTGCACTAAAGACATGTTCTAGTTCGCTCTACTTCTACCCATGATTGTGCTGTTTCCATAGAGGAGCAGCACTTTATATTGCAATAAAAAGGCAACACAGAGAGAAAAAGCAGAGCTGTGAGGTTCAGAGGGTTGACGTAAGAAGCACTCACGGTGGTTTTCTCCAGACAGTGCAGCAGGTGGTGGTGCTGGCTCTCCAGTAGAGAGGTGGACTTACTTAACCGCTGCTCCTCCTCAGTGGAGCTCTGTAACACACACACACACACACACACACACAATGAGTGTCACGCTGCAGAGACGACACTAATCAGATGTGGAAGGTGCGCGGCCGGCTGCTGTCTGTGTACCTGATCTGAGAGGTTCATCTTGTACGGAAGTTGCTTCAGTTGGAGAGGGAGACAAAAGAGAGAGGAAGAGTTTCACAAGAGGTCAAAGAGCAGCAGACAGCGGTCAGGGATCATTACAACTGTGATTAATGGACGTCTGCCAACATCAGTGGAGCCGACGCTTTGATCCGCTGGACTCAGACAACTCGTTAATGACTAGTTCTCCACATACATCTATTTACTCTGTGTTTATTTGTGCATAAACGAGTGGGCAGTGTTTCTGGTTCTGATACGAAGGTGAGTCAGAATAAGTCGAGAAAGTAAAGAAACCAGCAAGAACAACATTTCAAAGTAAATACTGAGCAGTTTAAAGCTTATTTCTGTCACTACAGTATGTTAGTAATGTTCTTTTGGCTGTCAGGTCTTGCAGAAAACACGATAAATATTCATAAAACATAAACCCTGTTCTGCTCTCATCATCTGTTTGCTTCATGTACCTCCTGTTCCTCACTCTCTGTAAGACAAGTTTAATATCCTTCTACATCCAACAGCTGAGGAGGGTTGAGAGAACAGCTGAATCACAGATTACTCCGCGTTCATAGTCATAAATATCGGCCGTAATAACCTCAACTTGAGCATCGGGAAGACGTCTTTTCACTACATTGCAGAACGCTTTCATTGTTCTTGTCAGCAGCAAAGCAGTGTTACAGACTTTCAATGTGTTGCATCAGTCTTCCTCAGCAGAATCTGCAGTTGATGCTGTTTATAAAAAAAAAACAAAGGCAACAAACACTCCGCCCTGATCCTGCAAACGCTCCCCAGCACCGCCGCAGGGCGAGCAAAACGCAACGTCTTCAGAAGAGTTGTAGCAGCAACTGTTGCTGTTTTCAGCTTTTTGTTCGGCTGCCGGGGGTCTTTGCTGAGAGGGCTGCCTTTCTTTACTCGCATTTATTTCTGTCTTTCTTCTCTGACATGCATATCAGCAGGCCGTCACCACACTGGCCGTCACCACACTGGCCGTCGCCACACTGGCCGTCGCCACACTGCAGAAACAGCTTGATCTGCTGTGTTGCTGCTAAATAGCTGCCTTTTTTTAAAGTACACTTCCGTTGGACAGCAATGAATGTTCTATTGAGCAGGCGTTCATCTTTAAACGTCGCTGGTCACTGTCTGGATGTCAGCAGCCAGTCTGACACCAGACATATTAAACATCACACGTGTCTAATTACCTCTGAGCTGCAGAGCAGAATATGGAATATCTTTCATTTCTTTACATTAATTGCTTTTTAAGCTGCATTGAAACGCATCAATGCTGGTGTTAATGTTGACATTCAAAGCAATTATAAAAATCAGCATTTCATGGTTGAAAATGACTGAAAACACCATCGAATGTTTTAAATCAGCTATAATCTGTCGAGGCCAGTTCTGAGTTTGATTCGGTCGTCTGAGATTAATCTATGTCATGAAATAAAAAAGCGTTAACTTCTAATCAGACCAACTATCTCTCTGTTGCCTTTACTATTTCAGTAAACACGGCGGAAGTCTTTCTCTCCTTTCTGTGACTAGAAATGAATCTCTAACATCTGGTGAATCAGAGTTAATGACAAGTGTGTAGAAGAAGCATTAGGTTGTTAAATTTTACTCATTTAGTAGCTGGCTAGTTCGTTAGCTAAAGTTAGCTTGCTAAATCCACAAATCATTTTTAATTTAACTATAAAATTGGTAGTGAAGTAGTGTCTGTGATGAATTAAATCTTAAATAATGACAAATCTTCATAGAAATACTATTAACAGAAAATCAATATATTTTTTCCTCATAAATAAAACGGACTTGTTAGAGTCGCTCTTTGCAGTTTCTCGCAACACTGTTTTATCAAATCTCAAAAGCAAAACATTCCACAAAGCAACATTATCGTTCAGTAAATACTTTACTCGTGACCCTCAGCTCGTAGTTAAGATGAATGGAAACATAACCACACACATAAATAAACAACACTGCAGCCGTTTGCAGCATATTGTCTCTTAAGGAAATCAATATGATGCTGGTCTTACCGTGAACTCCAGAGCTTCGTTGAACAGGCCGTTTCGCTTGCTGTGGAGGAAGGCGTCGGAGGTTCCCTGCTTGGATATTCGTATCCTGGCCAATCGGGCTTTCTGCAACCAAAGAGAACCCACCTTAGTTAGACATCTTACCTCAGAACGAGTGGGTTATCACCCGACACATCCCACTTATTAGTAGCTACAGCTCTTTTCTCATGCTCGATATCTCTAGAGCTAATTAAACATGTGCTACTAAAGCATTCGCTCTGATCTCCTGTGATAGAATTCGCTCTGATCTCCTGCGATACGTATGAATGATTTATGGAGACTGCACGATAACACATTCTTTAGGGTTAGAAATCAGAGAGCGAGAGGAAGCCAGCACCCAATTCTGTACGAATTAAGCAGCTATTAAGCTAGCAAATATGCATTTACAATATTGATTACAATGTATTATCTTCGCCAGGAGGATCATGTGATCGATCGCGTGTGCCCTTGAGTGAGTGAGTGAGCGTGCATCTCTGCGTCTGTCCACGGCTAATCTCCCATTCTGCTGCAGCAAACTGCATAATATTCAGTTATGGCTGCATGCTGAAGGTCCTCTCGTGGTGGCAGAGACACACATAAAAACAAAACAGCTTTTATTGCCTGTTTTTATACTTTCATCTGCAGCTCACACGGTGTGTTTGGCTAACAGCTAACATAACCACCAGGAAACACACTGCTGAGTTCATCTCTGCAACTCAGACGCTGCTACGAAGGCTAACAGCTTGGAGAGTTTGAGTCTGGTAAGATTGTACGACGTGCCTAATAGACTTCGAGCCAATTGTCTGCATACATCGCTGCTTATTTCAGAGTCTGAATGAAGTGTGTTTCACGACGCCGTATAGCCCCTGGCTATTAGCCAATCGTGAGTTAAATTCAATCACACAGCGGGGGTTTGTTGCAGACACACCTGGTGTGGAGATCTGCACTCTGCCGAGTCTCGTTTGGACTGTTTCCGTGCTGCTATGTCAGCATTTTTCTCTTTAGCAAAATAAATCAAGGAAGCGTCACGGCTCATAATGCTTTACGTCGGTAACGTCGGCTTTAAATGCGCCTTTGGTCACCGGACCCGTGCTGCACGGTTAGTGCCTCCTTTCCTCCCTCTCCATCGATGATGAACAAGAAGCAGAGAAGGAATACGACGGGGGGGAACACATTATTTAGGTCCGTGGAGTGAATCCTGAAAGTATCAGTAGTTTTCGACACAGTGGAAGGATTGTTCTCCAATGTCCCGGTTTTTGCTCTTCCCCGAAACGCACCGTGTATAATGAATGTGTGTGAAAAGAGTGTCTCAATAAATCTCTGTGACCAGAACAACTGCTCTTACACGATAGGGTAATCTGAGTCACTCACTTCTCAGAGGCCAGCCATTTCCCCGTCAAAGTCAAGAGCCGGGTGTCGGGCTGGCTGCAGCTACAAAGTGTGTGTGTGTGTGTGTGTGTGTGTGTGTGTTTCTGTAGCTTCGCATTCTGCATTTTAAAAACAGCGTGACGGATTCAGTGAGGGGAAATTGATAGGAGGATCATGTGAACTGTGTAAATGATGAGCAGAGAGCTTGTTTAGTAAGGGGGGCCCATGCACCGCTGGGGGGTTAATTGAGTGTGTGGATGTGTGTTTTCTCCACGTGTGCGTGTGCAGGCCTGCCTCGCTGAATCTCCATACACACACCAGCAGAGATACCTGGCTCAGTGAGGCTATATGGTAATGTATGGTAATCTGAGCTCAGCCCCTCACTTGAGTTTCATTTAAAACACGTCGCTGCTGTTTGTTAACCCTGCAGGTGGCTCACGCTGAGATTCAGTATTCTAAACAGACGGGAGCGCACGTGGACACACATGCACGGCAGCCGATCTGGCATCTATAGCACAAAACCCGACTGCCTTCAAGTTGTTTACTCTCTCTCTCTCTCCCCCTGCATCTCTTTGTCTTCTCTCACCCTCCCTCCGGCTCTCCTTGATGAGTTCTCTCCTCGCTGTCTTTGTGCCCTCACCCTCTAACACCTTTGTATACGTTTGTGCTGGCGCAGCATTCCCTGCAGGCCTTTTGGGATAACCCCTCTTCATGTCCCGGGCATTGTGCTCGGGCCAATGGGATTGTTTCTCCGGGGAAAAACGATGGTTGCCAGGCAGTGCACGGGGGTAATAAAGGGGGGGGGGGGAATGTTAAGAACATGTCCCCCACGAGATTGAATCTACTTCTGCAGCTCTCTGATAGATTCCCGGGTCCCTTTGGGTCGAAGGCCCATCTGTGCTTGGAGGCGGAGCCACGGCCCCACAGATTGAGGCTGGATGTGCTGCCGAAGCACCGCTGACAGCACTCGGGAGTGTTGAGGACACCGGGGGGCCCTCATTAACGGTAGAATACCGTCAGGAAGAGTCCTTCACAAAGAGTCGGTCACATTTGCACGCAGAGGGAAAATGAAAGTGCTCCGCTGTGTTTATAGGAGATTGTAATAACAAAATAAAGGATTTCTCAGTGCTGGAAAAGTATTTCCCCTCATAAATAATGTACTCATAGTTACACAGAGAGCTGCCAGACGATTCAGCACGAGGCGTTGTTACATGAGTGAAGAGTAACTGCACATTAAAGCATTAAAGAAGCTGTAACATGAATGACGAAACGCATCAATGCTGGTGTCAATATTGACATTTCTTGCCAAATTTATTTGCCATTTCTGACTCAATCTACGGTTTTAAATCAGCCAGTTCTGAGATCGAGTCGACTGTTTGGGACTGATTTACGTCACAAAATGAAAGAATATTAAGGTCCTCTAATCAGACCCCCCCTCTTCTCCCCACACAGCGTCTATCGCCTTTACTTTTTCAGTAAACACTGTGTAGCTTTACAATCACAGCACAAGTCAGTTTTCTCCTTTCTGTGACTATAAACTAATCTGTCGGCACATTCCAACAGCTGGTGAATCAGAGTCGATGACTGGTTATCTGGAGATAGAAACGCTCGGGAGCAGACGGAGGAGCTACGATTAGCGTTAAAGTCAAGTTGCTACATCCGCAAGGGAAAAAAACACACGACATGTGATTCACGTTTAATTTCAGTTTGTCTTTAAAGCAAATAACAGCAGCTGGAATACTTGAACACCTTCCAGCCAATCAGAATAGTGATGTTGAATGTCACTGTATGAAACAACTTATCCAAACACCTTCCCCCCTCTTTGGTTTCCCTTCTTTCAGCCACGGAGGGAAGGATTTAGTACCAGTCACAAAGATCAGAACAACGCTACACATGCTCCGCTGAGCATTGCGGGAAGTTTTGTTGGAAGTTCATCTTTTTTTTTAGAGCTGAAAATAAAAGAAAGACTGTTTATATAAACTTATAGAGGATTTGGCTGAGTGAAAAGTGGAGCAATCCAGCTCTGAGACCAGATTAGGTTCTGCCTCAGGCCTGCCTGGGAACCACACAAGTGAGAGGAGGCCATCTGACAAGGAAGCAGAAGTGCACACACACACACACACACACACACACACACACACACACACACAACTGTGGAAGAGTTTTATTTTGTTTTGCAGCTGCCGCTCGTCTAAAGAGTTGCTTTTATACATGCTGACATTTCTGCCACGAGGAAATAAGTCTGTTACTTGTTTTACAATAACACACACCTACACACACACACACACACTTACACACACACACTTACACACACACACTTACACACCTACACACACACATACACGCACAAAGACACAGAGGGACAGCAACACGAACCAGAAGAGGGAATGAGAGTAATTTAAAAAGAAACCAGACTTTTACAAAAGTCCACATGGAAGTTGGTGAAGACGGGAAACTGATAATTGATTCGGTGGGAATCGAGTCCTCTGACACTTGTGGCCCACAGATATGTGGCCCTGCAGCAAAGACAGCTTAACCTCTGACTAACACCGCTCAGAGACAAAACGCCTTTAAGCCTGGATTACCTCTTTATAGAGGAACTACAGCTCTCCAAGCTGCTGTGACGCTGATGTTTAGCACGTTATTATTGTGTTTGTGTTGTTCACAAAGAACATAATTGATAACAGATCTCTTGACCCTCCTCACTGAAGTCCTCCGTCAACACCCCTCCACTCTCTCTTCTCTGGCTGCCTTCTTCCAAAGTGCAGACGACTTTATTGATCGTCTAGAACAGCAGAACACTCTCAGCCAGAAGTCGGCTTCACCTTTTTGACTTAAACCTTCTGAGGGAGGGCTCAAAACAGTGAGATGATTTAAAGCGGGGGGAGAGAGAGAGAGAGAGAGAGGGAGAGAGGGAGGACGACTTGTTGTTGTCATCTCCTCCAGGAGGATCACGCGTTTGGATCAAGGTCCTCTCGTGGTTTCGGTGACTCATGCTTTGCCTGTTTCATACTCTAACTTAGACTCCTCACTCACTAGTCTGAACCACATGTATGCGGTGTGTTAGGCTAACGGCTAACGGCTAACTGAACTACTATTACACACACTGCTGAGCGGGCAGACAGATCGGTGAGTTAAATATTGTTTTTGGCAAGATTATATGAATTATATAAAATTATATAAATTACAGCAGAACATTGAGCCAATTTCCTGCATTCTTTGCCGCTTGTTTTTGGGTTTGAATGAAGTGTTCACGACGCCTTACAGCACATTGGCCAGTTGTGGGTTGAATTCAGTGCAGATGCACCTGATGGAGATCTGCGCTCTACTGAGTGCACCGTTCTGGTGTTTTGTTTCTGCCTCGTCAGCCTCGAGCCAATGCAATGCTCAAGAACCGCAGCAGACAGTCATTTAGATTTTGAGGACAACAACCGGAGAACGATTTCCAGTCAAGGCGGGAAACAGACGAGAAAGTAAAATAATAGAAAGTGAGTTTTCACAGACACGGGAACAATAATGGGAAACAAACAATGAGAGATATGTACTGTATAGATTCTGCTGCTGACAGCTGAAGCAGGATTTATGATGAGCCATTGATCCATTTTCATAAAAGAACGATTCATAACTGTCTGACTCTGTTAAAGCTGCAGTCGTCTTTGTGGGGGAATATTCGTGAGTAGTTTTAGAAGATCTGTTAATTGAAGGTAAAAGAAATTGTC